TGTACTGTATGCTCCTTTTTACATAATAAAGGGAAATAGAAATATACCTGTGCATATGCCTATATTTTCAAAAAGAAACAATGGAAGCATAAATCAAAAACTAATTTTAAAAGATGGTTACTTTACAGAAGGTGGGGAGCAGGGTGAAAGGATGAAAAGCCAGACTTCTCAGAATATACCTGGCTCTATAGTTTTGACTTTGAAACTATATAAATAAATGCCTCACACAGTAACAAAATTACATTAAAAAGAAAAAAGAACATAGCAGTGTCTGAAGATGGAAAACAATGAATATTACTGTATATGATTGTCGGCATATCCACAAAGATAATAAATTTCAAGACACTATAATACAGCCTCTGCATGCCTTGAGTGGAATTTATCCAGTAGAGATCAGTGTTCTCTGGAGGACTTGATTGCTGGACCCACCCGCAGAGTTTCTGATCTGGCAGGTCTGGGGTGAGCCTGATAATTTGCATTTCTAACAATTTCTCAATGACAATGATTTTGATAGTTGGGGACAATTTGAAAACCACTGCTATAGACAAATAGAACTCCAAAAAGAAATCTGAAAGCTTAGTTTAATAATCATTTGTTGGTAATAACATTGGCATTGTGTTTTGGTTTTTTTTAAGTATATATGAGGGAACTTCAAAGAGTTTGTGGGAAAATGGAATTAAAAGATGATACAACCTTTCCACGAACTTTTTGAAGTAACTTCATACAGTAGGTAAATCATTACGTTAGTGTCATCAGGAACTCAGGTTTACAGATAATCAACCATAAAATCAAAAATGTAAAAACTCTAAGCTTTGGGGCCGACCCGTGGCTCACTCGGGAGAGTGTGGTGCTGATAACACCAAGGCCCCTGGTTCAGATGCCATATAGGGATGGCCGGTTGGCTCACTGGCTGAGTGTGGTGCTGACAACACCAAGTCAAGGGTTAAGATCCCCTTACCGGTCATCTTTATTAAAAAAAACTCTAAAATTTGAATTGAAATAGCAGTATAATTCATTGTGGAGATTTTGGGGGGTTTTTTCCTCCTTTTAAAAACAGAGTGTGTATTTCCTTGTTTTTTTGTTTTTTTGTTTGTTTTGGCTGCTGACCAGCCCAGAGATCCAAACCCTTGACCTTGGTTTGAGTGTGTATTTCCTTGTTTTTTTGTTTGTTTTGGCTGCTGACCAGCCCAGAGATCCAAACCCTTGACCTTGGTTTTCTCAGCCCCCAGGAGTTCAAGCACAAGGTAGTAATGAGCAGCCCTCTCCCCAGATCATTTCTAAAGACCATTTCCCATAAAAGGAACACAGAATCCTTGGAGAGAGAATGTTTCCAGGTCTGGGTCAGGACAAGATGAGATCAGAACATTTGCCCTAACAGAGAGCTAAGAAGCCTTCGGACTTGCCCAGCAAATGCTGGGATAAAGAGTTCTCACTGGCCAAAGACAGGAGACTCTGGGTATCAAAACGAGGACCCATGAGTTCCTAACAAAAATTTTAAAGTTCATTCATGAGCTACCTCTAGATAGAATGTGGTGCTGATAACACCAAAGTCTAGGGTTCAGATCCCCATGCCAGCCAGAGGCCAAAAACAAAAAAACAACAAAACATGAGCCACCTCTAGAAGATACTGGGCACCAACTCATTATTCTCAAAGCTGGTCAATCAATGGGGGCTGGGACGGGGGGGTCGGGGGGGCTATGAAGAGATCAAGCATTTTTTTCTTTACACAAACTGTATTTCACAGTAACCCAATAATGACAAGCAAGGTCATTATAGGATTTCAGCTAATAAAGTCAAGGGTTCGGATCCCCATACCAGCCAGCCGCCAAAAAAAAAAAAATTCAGCTAAGATGTGGAAAGAATGACAGAACCTTTTAAAAATTGACTTCTGCAACACTCCTAATGTTCATCAACAGCCACTAAAATCCTAAGGAGAAAGGCTGCTTGCTGTTGATCTTTAGAATGGTCCCACACGTCTGAACTCTCTGATCAAACTTAATCTCACTATGGTTGAAAAACTGGACACTCAACCAGCGTACTTTTAATTCTACTTTTCCACGAAACTTTTGAAGTAGTCTCATGTCTCCAGAGGCGATGCAAGAGGAAATCCTCATACATAGTAGCCCCTTCCCTGCCCCCAAATCTACACTAAACCCAAATCTACATTAAAGCTCTAGATTTAATTTGCCTGTTTACGAGACACATAAAGACTAGAGAAACTGGTTAAATGAAACCACAAATATGCAATAACCCAAAACAAGGATGTGAAAACTTCTACAGAACAAATGATCCAGTTTCTTCAACAAATAAAATATCATAAGGTGTATGTGTGGGGAAGGCGGAAGGGCTGGATTAACAGAGGTTTAAGAAACCTATCAACTAGATGAGTGCCTCTTGTGTGGATACCGACTGCAGCATACCAACTGTAAAACAACATTTTTGAGGCAACCAGGAAGTATAAACAGGGACTTGCAGAGGTTGGCTATGAGAAATCATTCATTTAGTTAGGTATGATTATGAAAAGTCTTTACCTGTTCACAGATACCTACTGAAGTATTTTAGGGATGAAATGAAATCACATCTGAGACTTGCTTTAAAATATTCTAGGGAAGGGGTCGAGCCCGTGGCGCACTCGGGAGAGTGTGGTGCTGGGAGCGCAGCAGCGCTCCCGTCGTGGGTTCGGATCCTATATTGGGATGACCAGTGCGCTCACAGCGCTCACTGGCTGAGCGCGGTGCGGCCGGTCTCAAAAAAAGGACAAAAAAAAAAAAAAATTCTAGGGAAGGGGTTGAGGAGTGGCAAAAATTTCTGGAGTGCCTGGGGACTCATTACAGTAATCTATTATTGTGTAGGTTTAAAACTGTATTTATAAGAAATCAAATAAAAATCAGACACTAGGAACACAATAAAGACCAAAACCCAAGACTGCAAAACACCAAATCTATATTTACATCCACATATAATAACATAACTTTAAGCTGAAATATATCATAAATAAAACAAGTAATGTCTACTGTTTGACAACTTAAGTATCAACAATTAAAATAAATCAAACTGGAATGAAATAAATACATAAACAAAAATCCAACGAATTGTACCTCTATATTAAATGTACTGTTGTCTCAAAGGAAAAAAACATCATACAAAACCAGTAGTATCCCAATAGTTAATACTGATGGACAAAAAATATTTTGAAGTACAAAGGGCTGTGGGAAAAAAATTGATATTTTTATGCATTCAGAAATGTGATTGAAAAGGAGAAATCTTAAAGCCCCCCAAATTTCAGCCTAACACAAATTGTGTTGTTTTCAAATAGATTTGGTGATTTTTTTTTTTAAATACAGGTTTAAATCTCAGCCCTCTATTATCACATGTCCCCTTTTAAGATTTACATTTACAGTCACAGCAAGCTTTCTGTAACACTTATTGGATTAGGCAGCGATTGAATCAATCATCTTGCAAACGTGTTAATCTTCAAAAATAGGCTATAAAAGTGCAAAACTATGAAAACAAAATCTAGATTATGTACATATGGCTCAGCTTGTGAACAGGAAAAACGGTAAATAGTGTACACTTTCCTGATACAAAGCACTTCATTGCAATGCCTGTAGACTGATTTCAAATTAGGTCTCCCTTTAACACAGGAGTTAAGACTTCTATCAAGGATACTCATGTTGTATATTAAAAACAAAAAAAATCAGGATTCTTTTAGGAATTTACCCTTGCTCTGTGGAGAAGTATAGGGCCAGAAAAATTAACAGTGCAAATTTATATTTGAAACAGTTTCTTAATAAAATATTTTCTGGTTGCTCAACCCACGTACTGCTGAGTACACTCAGCCATGGACAACACATTAAAGGGACGAACATTTAAAATATCTAGTAAGCCAGCGGGTGGCTATCCTCTCTAAAACCCAAATTGCATGTGCACTGAGAAAAACACTTCTGCTTCAAAACAACCAAAAATGGGAAGACAACGAGGTCTAGAAACAGACTCTCTTTCTCGACTCCCAGGAGGCTCAGCCAGCAGTTCCTTATTCAAAATCAATGTGTCTAGAATTAACTTTAATGGGTCTACAGTTAACCCAAATGCCAGACACACCAAGACTTCCAAACACAAACCTAAAATTTTCCAAGAAGCCTTTCATATCTTTTAAAATTATTTCCCAATATTTGCAATTTACATGTATAATTTAGCATATACTAATTTAGGCAAACACCCCCCAAAACTGAATTTTCCAACAAAAATGATTAATTTGATAGAAAACAAATTTAAATAACTCCACATACAGTTTGGTACATTTACCCAATATTTGGCTGTTCTACAGAGGAAACAGACACACTCACTTAAAAATCCTACAAACCATCCCACCCCCTGAGGAAGGATCCTGGTGGTTCCAGGGCAATCTGGAGGGGCCAGAGGAAGAAAGCATCTTCCTCAGTGGACATGCTGAAATTTGCAGTTAAAGGATACCAAATTCAAAATGGCTGACCTCAACAGACGCAGCACATACTCACAGAGGATCAATACTTTTGTTAACAATTTTGTTAAGACAACAATAGATTGTGGAGGATTCAACATAATACATATCACTGAGAATTTTTTTTTAAACATACATTTTAAATGAAAGAGCACAAACAGCAGAAACTGCTCAAAGTGATGAGCTACGTCAGAGAAAAGGAATACACACAGTATTAAAACAAGCAGGTTTACAACTTAGATATTTACAGATTTTTACCTGAGGTGCAAGCATTATAGACTTTTCCCCATCCACCCACCCCCAACCCAAACGATTTCTTTTCAGCAGCGCTCAAGTATGCAAGAATTCCACTTCTTATTTGGTCAATTCTAAAAAAAATATTATTCAGGGACAAAATAGAGATTTGCAGTCCCCATCTGTGTACAGCCCAACTGTTCCAACTAGTTTTTATTGCTATTTGGTACAAAAGTTAACAGAACAACTGTACGAAACTGTAGTGCTCCTTCTATGTTCTATGTACAGTACAATCACAGCTTATTTCAGTAGCTTTCACCTTTGTCTTCTCAAAGGATGAACTAAAATTTAGTTTCATGGAGGGTATACATTTATATCCATCAAGACCTAAGGGGGAAAAAAGGTTAAAAAGTTTAAAATAAAAAGTAAAAACAGTCTAGAAAATTATACATTAAAAATAGTATAATAAATAAATAAATACAACTAAAGGACCCTAGAAGTGCAGCGGGTTCCATGTAAGCTCAAATTTTGCAATAAAGGTATTGGGAGACTAAATAGATAATGCTGCACTGCTTGTGAGATATACTTGCAGTGGTTTAACTAAGATGGCTTAAAGAAGAATCAGAATTTAGTATCAGTGACACTAAGTCTGGCAAAGGCAATTGCCACCCACATGAAACTGACAGGTTTACACATTAACAAGTGGAAACGGGGCCGGCCCGTGGCTCACTCAGGAGAGTATGGTGCTGAGAACACCAAGGCCCTGGGTTCGGATCATATAGGGATGGCCGGTTAGCTCACTGGTTGAGCGTGGTGCTGACAACACCAAGCCAAGGGTTGAGATCCCCTTACCGGTCATCTTTTAAAAAAAAAAAAAAGAAGAAGAAGAAGAAGTGGAAACGTATGGAATAGACCAGGAATATTCAACAAAACAAATATGATTTAGAATAACCTCCTACCATAAGAAAGAGGGTGTATAAAACCTTTTATAACATTAGTTGTCCAGCCAACATCTATCAAGTTATCAATGACATTCCAGGCAACGGGCCAGATGTTGAAGGAAGCTATCCCCTCAATCTTAGCCAGTGGTAAGACAATTGGAAACGGGGAAAAAACACATGCAGAAGCCACACACATTGAGATGCCTCTAACTCGCCATTTTGCAGAAATTTTACAGAAATGACACCTGAGCATCAGAATGAGGTTGTTGGACAAAGAAGGTGCAGATAGGGGCCAGCCTGGTGGCGCACTGCTACAGTGCGCCGCTTGGGAGTGCGGTGGCGCTCCCGCTGAGGGTTCGGATCCCACATGCAGACCGGTTCCCGCTCACTGGCTGAGCGAGGCGCGGGTGCAGCACCGAGGTTTGCGATCCCGTTGCCGGTCCCGGTCTGGTACGGGCACAACACTGAGGGTTGCGATCCGTTGCTGGACACGAAAAAAGACAAAAAGGAAAAAAAAAAAAAAGAAGGTGCAGATAGAAAGTTCCAGGTAGAGTGAAATGCAAGCAGAGAAGCCTGGTGCTTACGGAGAGGCCAATGCAGGACACACAGCTATTACTGATCAGTGGTAATGTCTATTGCAAATAATCTGTTGTTTATAACCCATCAATTATGTCTTTATGTTTTGACGTAGAGTAGATTTAATCTTATTCCCATGGTTACACCACCCTACTCACTCTCCTGCGTATGTTATCCTGAGTGGAGGAGACAAACAAAACTGCACATAGCTGATGGTGCCCAGGGAGAACATCATTTTTTTGCCCCACGTGTGTCCCAGTGAAAATATGAAGGACAAACTGCCCTGGACCATGAGCATCTTTCATCTCTGTACCCTAGTGTCTAGCAGGCACTCAGTAAAGAGATTGCTTGGACTGGCCAGTTATCTCAGCTGGTTAGAGTACAGTGTCCTAACACCAATGTAAAGGGTTCAGATCCCCATACTGGCCAGCCGCCAAAAAAAGAGAGACTGCTCACTGAGTACACAGTGATGGTTTCCTGGGACAAGAATTATCTGAAAGAGAACTAAATCTGTCCACGAGCCCCAATCTCTTCATTCAACTTTACTGTTAAATGAGGCCTAGTGTAACCGACGTAGATTCACGCTCTCTGCCCAAATTCGGAATAAACTAAACATGCATATATTTCTGACAATACTACTTGAGCCTTACAGGGTTACTCTACAGTTAGATATATTTGACATGTGAACCAAAAAGCCAGAATAAACCTACTCAATCTTGTCCCAATACCCCTCTCCCAGCAGATAAAAATTTGTGAACGCTCTGAACAAGTTCTTAAACTAGAAGATGGGGCACAGGCTTCAAGATCTGTGCAGACCTTGGACAAAACCCAGATTCCTGCCACACACGGGCAGAGGGGACCTTTGGGCACACTACAGTATAATCCAAGTCTCAGTCTCCTCAGCTGTACAGTGTGCACAGTATCTCCTAACCCTGGGTCAAAACCTTTTCC